TTACACTGGACAAGGTTTACAGGTTCACCAAGATAAAACGCTGCAGTTAAGCAGGAACAGGAACAGAAAGTAACAAAGCCGCGAAGATGGTGCTCCCCCATAAGCCGCAGCGGTGCCAAAAGTAATAAATAAGGTAACTATGTATTAGGTTGTCCGGAAAGTTCTTAGCGTTTTGGGTGTTTAACTTTAAACGATCATAACTTTCTTAACACTCATCGGATTTAATCCAAATATCAGCGAACCATTCGAATCAGCACACTTTTGCCAATGTGGCAGCAGTCGAGAAATCCCATCAAAGAAAAAACTGGGTGGTCGAGAATCCACGAAATCTGCGAAGGTCTTTTTTGCCTGGTCCTGTTTGATGAAGTATTTCTCAGCAGGAAAGTTCTGAAAATGTCTGAAAAGGTGACAGTCGGTTGGTGAAAGGTCTAGAGAATATGGTGGGTGAGGTAGAACTTCAACTCCCAATTCGTTCAATTTATGGATAGTGATTTGTGAAACGTGTGGGCGGGCGTTGTCATGCAAAAGAATCGGACCCTTTCTTTTGATAAGTGTTGGCTGCAGCTGACAATATTTCGGTACATTTGTCGGTTTGTTCACAGTAGGGTTCTGCTGTGGATGCGTTTGGCCCTCGGTGATGAAAAGTTATAGTGGATCACAACAGTCGATGACCACCAAACCTGACCAGAATTTTTTTCGAGGGTTCGGCTTTGAAAATTACCTCGGTGGTTCCTCCAAATCCAACCACTGTCCGGAACGTCTCCTGTTATCATACATGATCCATTTTTCATCACAGGTGACAAATCCGTTCAAAAACGGGTCAATTCTTTTGCGCAAAAGCAGTGAAGAAGGAACCTCGAGACGTGCCGATTCCTGCCGGTCACTCCGATTGTGGGGCACCCAATTGTCGAGTTTTTTCACCTTCCCAATGCGTTCCAGACCATCTGCAACAGTGGATTTGCAAACGCCTAGCTCTTCTGCTATCTCTCGAACTGTTTGGGATAGATCAGCCTCCGAAATCCCCTCAAAATCCTCGTCAGAATTGCTTTAGGTCGATCGCTATGAGGTTCACCTTCAAGGCTGAAATTTCCAGAACGACATTTGTTGAGCCATTGCGGCACAGTGCTTTCTCTAGCACTATTGGGCCTCCACACCTGGTTAATTTGTTGAGCTGTTTCGATTGCGGATTGCCCCAATTTATAGCCGAAGAAAAAAATCGTCCGAAGTGCTCTTTTCACATGCTTGAAAAAATCTTGAAAAAAGAGGGTTTATCAGCAAAGGTGAAACGGCAATTATATACCATCAGATATGCGCAAAAATTGCTTCTACCAGGATGCTGCCATACCGAGAGAAAGAAGCAAGGCAGAATGAGTTTTTAATCAGCAGTGAATGTACAAAGATTAGGTGCACAAAACGCTAAGAACTTTCCGGACAACCTAATAACTAAATGGCCTACATCAGAAGTACCGACCGACATTCTGTATATGATCACTCTTCGCTTCTATTGATTCCTTGGTTCCTCCACGATTTCAATTAGTCCCCCTTCTCCGGCTCGCGTACCCTGAGGCGTAGGCGAGCTGCCTCATTTCATTGGGTGAGGCAATCATTAGGAGTATCATCTCGTTGGGTAGTGATTTGCTTCAACGAGCTGAGAAATTCCCCAGGCTCAAGGACTAGGGTGCAGTGCCGTTCCGCCGAACAAATATTGATTTGTCCCTGGAATACTGAAAGTGCATGTTTGTGGGGGGAATCAATTACGCTATGCATCATCGTTTACGATGGGCTGCATCCACTATTTGCACTTCGATTTCGGTCAGCTACCTTGAAAGGGACCGGCACTTATTCCAGTCAGCTGGTCCTTGTTTTGGCCACGTGTTTTTTGACCATGTCCAGGCCATGATCTGTTGGCCACGAAATGGCCCCATTGCCGGGCGTCCAATCATAATGCAGGATTGCGCAGCCTTGAACTCGAGGTGCCAAGGAGGTCTATGTTATGGCAGTGAGTTCTGTAATTTTCAGAGCTCCAACAGAAGTTCTGGTGGGATTCAGTTGAGTTCTTGGTGGGAATGGCCCCAACGCGGCCTGCTATGTCGTAGAATCATTTTAAATCCAAATAAACAATCTAATGAATAAACAACGACAATAGCAAAAACAGTACAGCGGGCGATTCGGCGTCGGTAGAGGGCGGCATAATCACTGGTTACCTCAAGTCGCTTGCCGATGCCTTCGTTGTGAGAGGACCTGTAAAAATCGGTGTAACAAGACAGTACCAAGAAAAGCTGTGTTCTCATTTGACAGAGAATCGCAATCCACAACAGGTGGTGACGCTCGTACTCAGAAAAGGAGCTACGCGAGTGCAAAGTCCCCTCCCAAGCCGAACAGGGCCCCGAGTATTGGTAGTGGTTGGTGTTGTGTTGTTGTTGAGCTGTAAAACGAAGCGCGAATGTGAATTAGGCCATGCGCCACTCACTGTTGAGATGAATTGAATTCGAAACAAAACAGCCGGGCAAATGACCATCACAAGTTTGTATCAGAGCACTGCAGAATATTTCGGACGAATCGGAGGAAATGAGTAGCCAACTCACAATCAGGCTACTCAAAATGATGGCAAAACATGGCCCATAATCAGTCTTCTTATAGAAAGTGTCTCCTGGGAACTACTGCCTTTCCCAATTTCCCCGCCCTATCGTTTCCATTATTGTAATTTATGAATTTAGCAGCTAAGCAGCACTAAACGCGGAAACAGGGAACTGGGTCGAGTGAAAGTTAGCCCGTGAGCCACCCTAGTCCCACAGTTCCAACCGTTGCACATGTCTTCGAAGAGAGGTGCTGGCCACAACCCAATCAAAAACCTCACCACACACCCATGTCTGCGAATCTGCCAAAGTTCAACAAAAATTGTCGGCCACATTCAGCCCGGGAATAGGGGCATTCCGCTGTTTCGCTACCTCGCGTTATCACGTTCATTCCTTGTCAAAAATGACAGGTTTTTCTCGACAGGAGTTGACAAGTATCTCTACACACGTTAACTGGTTACTTCTTGACTCCACAAGATTTCACATCTTTCGAAAAAACAGAGTTGTAAAAAGGTCCCCCCCCCTTCTGCGCTCCCCTGACCAAACTGGTCCAGATTTCTTTGTCAACTCGAGTTTTGACACGTAGTGAAATTTAGCGCATAATTTGCAATAAGCCAGAGCACGGCGTCAACTAAGATTCCTGACGACGGCCAGAGGCGGATTGTACTTCTTACTGTCAAAAGCTGAGGCGGCTCACTATTTCCCCACAAGAGCTCAGACCGCTTCAAATGATTTTGACTATTTGTTGTTCTCCAACGAAAAAATTATTTGGAACGAGGGAGTGGGTCGCTAGACGTTGTGGAACTATTCCCTTACTGCGATATCATGCCCAAAGGCCATCGTTCGCTGAAGCATTGTAGTTTTCCGAAACGTTTCCGTTTCTGAACAAGCTAGAGACTACGGTCCTATAGTTAGCGCTAGGGTAGAACCGCCTCAACAAGCAGGTAATCAAAGATGTTCTGTGGTACGTGCAGGTAAGTAAATGTCGTACGCGGGTGCATGTTTTGTAAAACTATGCCCCCAGTTCCGTCTTCTGGTGGCGACCATCCCCTCCAACTTCGCTGACCGACAGGCTCAGTCACCTTCCGCGGACTTACTTTTGCTGTTGAAGAATTTCCTAGAATCCCGCCGTCTGGTAAAAGAGAAGTATATAGCGTTATGGAGAAAAAAAAGTCAGATGAAGAAAAATCTAACACCTGAAAACATTTTTAAAGGGCAAATAACCTTCTTCCGCTCGTTCCAGCGATCAAATAACGACCTTCTCAGCTGTCGGAATTCCGCAAAAGTGTACAGTTCTCATCATGCGGGACGGTGGGGCGTGTCAGCCAGAAGGAGTGCGCACACTGTTGAAGCCGTTCTCAGCCTTTTTTGTTGCAACGCGTATGCGACAAAAAGTGGTAGAAAACGAGTAATACGAAGGATATAATACAGTAATGTCACTTGCCCGCTTCAACAACTGGTGCAGAACGACTTTGCCAAACCGCACCAAACGCAGCCGCACTGCCACGCCCCACCGGTCCGCAATGATGAGGACTGTACGTTGCGTGCACAGATCAGGGGGGGGGGTGGTCTGAAGTGTGTGTGCAGGTTGACCCTTCCTACTTTATGACAGCTCCCCGCCCAATCCACTGGTTCGTTGCTGATCACTCTAGTCATCAGCCTATGCATGTGCCTCATCTTCTCTGCTCCTTCTCTTCATTCGACGCAATTGGCTTTCCTCTTTATCATCCGAGTGGGAGCACCCATGAAAGAGCAGCGAATTACGACACTCCTTCCGTTTCTCCGCCTACCCAGTTTTCGTGGAATATGTATTCAGCCTGACTGCAACCACAATATAGCTATTGTCGCGACTTAGGCCACTTTTTTGAAAGCTCACCAGCAATTTTGAATAAGAAATTAATGAGTGAAAGAGTTTTCAAAGGCCTGCTTACGCTCGCTAGTAGCTCTAGGGGCATTAGCGCTGAAGGTTTTGGAGTGGGGAGGAGGGGAAAGGGGGTGCCACACCTGTAAGCGCTGTCAAAATGGTATCACCGTTATTTGAACTCAGTTCTCCCGAAGTCTTATCAGCATTTTGACAGGTTTGACGGGAGTCCACAGGGTGCTTGACGGTGATAGCAAGGCTTACAGGGAGCTGACAAGCTGGTCGTGTAACACTACACGTCACAGGCTTTGCTAGCTGACAAGCGCTTACAGGTGTGACACACTCACCCCCCCCCCCCCCCTAATCTCTAGGGACATTAGCGCCGCTCCACGGTGTGCCATGCAATGGAACCCTCACGGAATGGTGCAACGAAACTAGTGGTCACGTACTCCCCCCTAATTGCTGAACTTGCTCCAAACTGTAGATGTATTTTCTTTTCCATCAATTTTTATACTTTCGCAAATACGGCTACCCTTTTTTCAGATGCACATGTCAAAAGCGAAATGAACGCAACGTGGTTCGCCGACGGTCCGATACGATATAACCCAGAAATCGGTCTCCCGGAATACCATATCATATCGTTGGAGCACGATTACTGTAACGGCGTCTTTCACTACACGCATCACCCCCAAATTCGTCCAGAGTGTCGGTAAGCTCGTTCAGCTATTATACCTGATTTCGTCAACATCACAAAGTCTTGATAATATACAAGGATAATAACCCATATGGAAATGGTTGCTCGCTCGATGAATGTCGGAGGCATACGCCCTCCTTTACTATAGGCCTCGACAGGCACATCATCGTTGGGCACCACTAAACAAGGGTCATATTTGGCCGTTGGGGAGAGTCGTATTTGGTCGCTGGTCTGAGACAACTTTTCGATAGCTGATGTTTAAGGTCGGGGGGGGGCATTGTATTCGCCTCTGTTGGGAGAGGGGGGGGTCGATATCAGCCTTCTTGAGAAATGTTGGCGGCGCTGGGAAGAATTTCTCCCGGTTGTTGACTTTTCGCAGTTTTTCCTGCTTCACATGTGTTTTATGTATACCCTCTGCCCCCCTCCTTCCCCGCTCGACAGCGAAACCCTGGGGGAAAAGTAGGAACCATATTGGGAAGTTACTATATGGGAAGTTCCGGGAAAACTGGAAAAAGTGGTAGGGAGTTGGAAAAATTTAAGAAAGTGGTCGGTAGGAGGGTTTTCCCGCAATAAATGGGGGGTTCAATATCAATATTCAACCTTTAGAGGGAGTCGTACACGCTCGACCAAGATCCCCAACTAATAATGTGCCCTCAATCTCCAAAGTTAATTTCTACTATGAAAGCTGACAGCGATGTTGGGTGATATTGCTGGATGGGACGCGTGCGTACGCGTCGCTTTCATAAAAAAGTTCCCTAGTTCACTAATGCCTTCAAAATGAATAAACCTGACTGAACACATACCCGCGCTGGTTGTACGGGGGAAGTTCTTTGAAAGGAGCTCACCGATGAAAGGGTGCCTTTTTGCCATGAAAGGTGACAGCTCTCTTGGAAGGGGTTATTGGTATGAAACGTGACGTATGCGTCGCTCCCGTCAGACCATTCGCTTTTTGCCGCCCTAGCCCTTGGAAAAGGGGCTCACAGATGAATGCATTCTTCCCTGTCTCCGCCCATGCAATCTACGAAGAATGTGTCTTTAGGTCACAAATAAGAGATGGCGCCCAGCTCTAGCAATTCTAAGGTTCTCTTTCACACCATGAGATTTGTAAAATTGCATTTTATTTGCATTTACTTGCATTTGTAAAATTTGATTTAATCTTTCTTAGGCAATATTCATGGGACACTTTGAAAATGACGTCATTCGTTAACTTTCAGGCGACTTCAGCTGCTTACTAGGAATGGTCAATTTGAAACGTGCTATCGGATTTCATTTAGTTCAGGTTTAGCACATTTGGCGCTAATGAGTCGAGCATAGTTATTACAGATTTTTTGTGAGCTGCTTACTTTTCAGAGTTATATTCCTACGGCGCTAATCGTGGCAATCTCGTGGGTTTCTTTTTGGATCGACCGGCGAGCAGTACCAGCTCGAGTATCGTTGTCGTTCACAACGCTGCTCACACTTAGCACCCAGGTTTGTTCTTATGGCGGCATACCGATTAAGGGAGATGTTCTTGCCCTAGTGATATTCGGAAGGGGTCTTACGAGGTTGCCGAGGTTGCTGGGCCCGGCAAGAAGTCGCACCTAACCTTGAGGGAATTTTTCTCCGAGTCACAAGTGGAATTTCTCCATTCGTTTACTTTCTGGTTTCGCACCACGTCACCGATTCGTCATTCCAACCAGAATGTCCAAACATTTTGGCCGGGCGCACCCCCCCCTCAGAAACCGGCGTCAAGCGTGGAGGAGCATATAAGGCACACGAAATAGGAAAATTCAACAATTGCAGAAGGCTCGGAACAGTCAGACCAGCCGCCCCGGAAGGGAGGGGGGGGAAGGGTTGGAGAAGCACGGAGTGACTGTACTTTGGACTAGCTGAGGAAGTTGGCAGAATTCGCCATTGTAGAGGGCGCGGGAGGGGAGAGATGGGGAATCGTTGTACCACCCATTCCTTATACTGCACCCTACTTCGAATAGACGTTCCATTATGTGGAACTTATGGCCAGGGTCAGGCGGCCAGTGTGACGTTCTGCGTCTCTGCCCTCAAGTCCATCTGGATTCACGTGTATGGGAATTGAGTAATTATACCCCAATATTCAGGGCAATGGCATCAGATACGCTTTGCCACCAGTGTCATATGCCAAGGCAATCGATTACTTCTATGGAGGTGAGCCTATAATTTTTGAGGTCGGCGTCTCGTTAAGTGGGTAAAGCAATCTCTTTTTTTCCACGCTAAAGCAAACGTCGATAAAAATGAGGAACGTGTTAGAGACGTATTCCGCAATGGCCGCATGGGCGGAGACTCGAAACTACTGGCGCACCACTTATCTCATTGGTATTTAACGCGGTGGACTAATGAGGGGCAGAGGTGTGGTGGCTTGGAGACTCCGCCCATACGATTGGCCGCCGCATGTACGTCATTTGAGTTGCAATAAAGCCTAAAAAAATTTGGTCAAACTGAAACATAAGACAACTACAGTTCATTGGGGCGGTTATGCCAACTCCTGCGACTTTATTGATTAATTTATGGATCGATAGCATTTTTCAGTGTGTATGCTGTTCATATTTGGTGTCTTATTGGAATTTGCCATGGTGAACAGCTACATGAGGCGCGTGCCAACAAGTATAATACCATGGCCGAGAAATTACAGGCTGGTTATGGTCACAAGCATGCTATTTGTAAGTGTCTCAAAAGTCTCGCCCTGATCAGTAGCCCTGTAGTCATGAAACAGTTCCAGCAGCATCTGAATATGACTCAGAGTACGACGAAGGGCCAATGTCACTAAAACGGCAATTCGGCAAGAATTCCACCAGTTTGATGTACAAAGCATTACGGTATTCTCGGAGAGCCCTAGCGATCGATAAAGCGGCTCGATTCGCATTTCCTTGTGAGTTTCAGTAAGTTTCACTTCAAGATGAAAGGCGCACTTAAAGACACATTTCACGGTAATCGGGTAGTGGACTGAGACCCATGACCACTAGGTCTCCCTCATTGGCACTGTCCCCCTCTTCACCGTATCAGAAGGTGGAGCCCACCGATGGTGAGGGCACAGTGGTTCTGTCTGTCTCCGCCCATCCGATTCCGATGCAGAATGGGCCTGAGAAGGCCCACTTTGCTGCAACCATTTAGCGCGACGGCTGTAGTTTTCAAAAAAGAAAATTCGGGCCATCAGCGGGTGAATAGAGCCGGAAACTGGCTGAAACGCTTAATAAATCCCTATAACTGGATCAACTTTCAAACTTACTGGTTTCATCCGAGAAAACCCAAGATATCGGCAGCTTCTCTGCATCGCGCTCAGAATCGTTTCTTTTTCACTAAGAAAACTTTTTTCAGCCGTTTTCCTGCTGTTCAACGTCGTCTACTGGATGTATTACTTGAAGGAAGACGATAATCACTTGTGATTACGGCATCATTTCTGTTGATTCGTTCTGATACAATAACGAAGTCTTTCATGGCCTGACAAGTGCCCCTGATTGTTTCCCTGTTGCGATATGCTAAATGCTGTGTGCAGGTCAGGTGGTCCGAGTTGCGGCGACGCGGCGAAAGCGGCGATATCGCAACGCGGGAACGTACCGCTTTCACGACAAAACGTGAAAGCACCTCGAAAAGTGGTGTCAACTGACCAGGGAGCGCCGCCCGTGGACGGCGGGCTACTTCTTAGACCCCCTAATTCGCACCCTCGGCCAGCTTTTAAGGGCTGGCTGTCTGTCGTGCAGATCACCATGGAACACAACAGTACGGCGCCATCGCAGTGCAGTTAAACGGCTAAGAACGGGTTTCTTTCTAGTGAAACTGTGTTGACAGGGTGCTCATTCCGGATCTCATGTAGGAGCTATGTGCCTCGGGAAGGGCAACCTTCAGCGAGACGGTAGGACCACATCATGCTGCTCTAGCGAGAAAGTGCAGCGAGAGACTTACAGTCAGTCAGACAGTACAGTCTTCGCTCCAGACGCTGAGGCGCATCCGGCCCGCGGGGGTGGGGTGGGTTTGACGCGACTTTCTCCAGCAATTTTTGTAACAGCAAGCGTCGACAATAGGTAAAAACCGGACTGGCACCGCGCCAAATCCAGCCCTCCAGACATGCATCAGCGTCTGTAGCGGAAATGACATACATGCTCCGCCTCTAACTCAGAACATGACACGCTGTGTCTCGGTGAGAGGATGCAGGCGAGCATACAATGGCCTAAGCTCGTCTGAGGATGCTCCCTCTCAAAGCATACCACCCTCACGTAGTGCGACTTTTCTGAGCCCAATTGGATCATTTACTTTCTGATACTTGATTCGCCCATAGATTTGAGTAGATTTGCGATTTGTTTAACTCTCTCACGTCTCTCGAATGGTGCTCTCGTTACGGGTTTTGTATATTGATTTTTCAAATTTTTGATGCTAGTCGTTTTCGGGTTAAGTAGTTGAGGAAAAAGGGGTCCACAGCTAGACGCGACTGTGTGCTTCAGATTCCCCACCTTTTCGCTGAGTTGGGAGGGATTCGCTCATTTGTTGAGATGAGAAGATGGGCAAAAAAAGGGCAAAATAAGAGGCAGCGTTCAGATTTTACGATGACGCGCGTCGACGCGCGATATCGCCAAGTCTAAACGCTGCCCGACGTGACATATTCATGCTATGGTGTGCTCACCTTCGTACCTCAACTACCTTTACCCTATTTTTCTGGGATAATTGTGCTGCACCATGTTTGACACGGTGAAAAGGATTTTCGTCACTGAAATAAAAATATTTGATCTATTTGTGGGTAATTGTGTGCATGTGGGTGTGCTTTCCTTCTACCATAGTATAGTAGTGCGTGTTGCTTCCGATGTGTTGTCGTGTGCTTACTGGCTTTTACTTTTTTTGCAGCACCAGACCTGCCGGAACGGTAACTGGCAAGCCTTTTATGTTGTGTTGTTGTGCCGCTTTTGTGTTGTCACTACAATCTGAAGAGATGCCTTCCTCTACTGCTTAACAAACTCGGGTCGAAGGTTAGTTCCACTCTTGTCACTGATTCCATCACAGTTTTCAACTGGACGGTTCTCATTCAAAGTAAACCAAAGATTTACTGCAGTTCTTTATTCATTAAAAACAATGTCAAGGATGCGACTGATCAAAATTAAAAACAAGAACAAGAAGCAGTTCGTTCATGTTGCTAAAAACCAAGTACTCAAAGGCATAGGCACGATAATTTGGTACTCGGTCTAAAATGGTAGCAGGGTGCTATATAGAGGGAAAATGGCGAAAAAGCGAAGTGAAACGGTCAAAAACCTGCAAAAAAGCCTTTGTTCTACACGACTCAGAAAGCAATTTCGGACGAGTTGTCCGTTGGCGTCGTGCCAATAACTGCTACTGTACATATGACTGTATGTATGCAAATATCCATGCAGCATCGCAGCCGCTTCATATCAATCCCTTCGCTTCATACTGTACTTCGCAAATGAAGCGATACGAACACCAGATGAGGTCATTTGTGGGGGCGCGGTGGTCGCTATGTTGCAGCTTGTTAGGGCTCTATAAGGGCACCTTCCGTGGAGAAAGCTCCAGCAGCGGCATCGAATTCTGTCCTGCTAGGCGTGTTAATCCTACAGTTCTTCGGGATTTATCGAGCTCACTTGCCTTCACGATCAAGTGTTACGGGTAGTAGGTGCTCAGTCATAAACCAGTAACCCATAAGCAACTCCCCAATAGAGGAAGAAGCGAAAAATAACCTTGAGACCAGAGAAACCTTCAAAGGGGGCGCTTTGGACGAGTTTGTCTGACGTCAGCAAGCCCAATCAGCAGGATTCAACGTGCAACAGATTCTCAGTAAAAGCACAGGGAAATCACTTTACGACGTTCCAGGCAACGCTATGCGCACCCGTAGTTTCGTTTGTAAGTTGTTCGTCTTGCAGAGTGAAAGTAATCGTGGTTGCAATAATCATGCTTCTCTGGCTTCCTTTATATCGCCGTCTCAAGTAACGAAAGTGGTATATTCTCTGGAGTGCAGACGACGTACCAAGGAGGCATTTCGCCGACTACTTATCCGTGGATTTGTATTCAAGCGTTGCCCACGGGGATTACATTGAAATGTTTCCCAAAAGCCGGTACAATGGCTTTATTCTTCACGGGAACAGTAAGAAAAATCTTTATGACGCGACCCTTTTATATCGAGTATCTTGCAGACTAATTGTCTTCTTTATCCGACCCTATAGAAGGCTTGAGTTTGCTCTAACTAGGGAGGTCGTTCAGGACGTGGAGCGCTTTTTGAAAACGGTTTTTTGCATGATGTGGGGTCACGTGCATGGAGTACCAAACTGGTGTTCATTTTTCCTGAACGCCTCTGGGAATGCCAAAAATGGAGTGAAAAAGAAGTCCATGGAAACCGACTGTTTTTGAGCCTGAATGGGCTCTAAATCACTCGCAACTTCGGCCAGTTGCTGCCTATAGGGTCCTTATAAAGGTACTGGTATCGATG